CTGAGGGATTCTGGGAGTTGAAGTCCACAAGTCTTGAAGTTGCCAAGATTGGAGACCGCTGCAACAGACGGTCCCGGCCACTTTCTCATCGCATCCAGAAACTACTAAGAGATCAAGGTGAGACATTGAAGATTGGGAAGCAGTTGCCAACCAGCACATGGGAAGCCCAAGTGAGGATCACTGAGGCTTCCCAACAGCATCAAACTCTCTGATCAGAAATGGCCTTGAAAGCATTGAAGAATATAAATGAATCATTGCAGAACAATGAGGACATCTGGAAGTTCCAAAGATGTTCTGATTAAGTTTGACACCTCAGAACAAGACTTACTTAAATGCACTTTCCCCTACAATTCTGTTCCTTCCCCAGCCCACTGCGTCCACCCAATGAGGGTTTGGAAACGAACACCCTTCTGTGTGGAAAATCTCTGGTGCCAAGAATGTCCTGGCACAGGCCAGGAATTCAGTCATAAGCTGAGTAGACTTCCTGATGGGAAGATCTATTGAACAGACTAGTAATAGTTCTCCTTCTTGGCAAGTGGAAGATGTGTTGTCTTCAACTCCCACAATCGGATCCTGGAATTCTGAACTCCGGGCGGCTCCCAATCGAAAGTTAACACAGCGCACAAAAAGCCCTATTAAAAACGATTAAAAACCCATTAACAATATTAAAACAACAAAAACAAAGGAGGCATCTTATCTTACCCAGTGTTTGCATTTACACTAATGGCAGAGGAAGGGAGCAAAGAGGGGAGGAAGGTGCCAGGGAAAGTAGGGGAGGGGTCCAAAGCCCTTCTTCGCTCTGTAAACTGATTGCGCTCTTGTCAGTTTCAGGCACTGCTTGTTAACTTGGCTGGGGCTTTGCAGGGAAGCTCAGATGCAGGACTGAAAAGCCCCGACAATATTGGACTTTGAATGCCACATACAAAAATAATAATAAAAAAAGAGGGCTTGTCCGCCTTGGCCGGACACCTGGTCACTCAAGCTAGCTCTCTCTTGCCCCTTTGGCAACCTGGCCTCTGCCCAGGGCTGGAGAGGTCCTGCGGGTGGGCCGAAAGCTCGCTGCAAACCCGCCCCCCCCCGCCCACAAGGGAGGGAGGAGCAGCCATGCCAGCTGCAGGGAGGGCCGCCTTTCGCACCGGCTTCTCCCGGGCTCGTGCCAAAGCCCCGGGCATCCCCTGCCACGTGCTCGGCCCCGCCTCCTTTCCCAGGCCCAGGCAGAGGGGCGGGGCCGAGGCTTCGGAGCGTCTCTCTCTCTCTCTCTCTCCCACCCCCTCCGCCCTCCCTCCTCGCGCACGCGCGGTGGCGCCCGAAAAAGAGAGAGAGCGAGAGAGCGAGGGCCCGTTGCCATGGCGCCACGGGCCCGGGTCTCGCGCTGCGCGGCCTTCAGCGCCTCCCACCGGCTGCACAGGTGAGCGGGGGCGTTGTTTGGGGGTGGGCGGGGGTGGAGCGAGAGAGGAGGAAGAAAGGGCTCCTGAGCGCGTGCAGAGCGCCAGGGACCTCCGGCCGGCCGGGAAGGGCGTTCCCGTGTGTGTGTGTGTGTGTGTGTGTGTGTGTGTGTGTTGGTGGGTGGGCGCAGATGGCACAGCGGCCATGGTATCTTTCCCCCCACCTCCAAAAACTTGGGGTGGCTGTTCTTATGCCTGTTTTTTTTAAAGAATTGGGAACCCCCCTCCCTCCCTCCCTTCTCCCCTCCCCCAGGCGGCTCAGCGCAGCCCTTGAACCCCGTAAAGGGAGGAGCAGCCCTGCCCACTAGGCACCCCGACCCTCTGCCCCACCCACAAGCCCCCATGCTTGCAGAAGAGCAGGCAGGAAGGGCCCGGTGCTGCCCCCGCCCAGGTTTCTTTATGCAATCCGAAAGTGGGAAGGGACCTTGGAGGTCATCTAGTCTGTCCTCCCCGCCAGGGCAGGGTCCCTCTGAGCATTCCAGGTCAAGGGCTGGGCCACCTGGGCTCGAACCCCTCCCTCTCCTCCATCAGCAGTCTTCAAACAGGCAGGGTGTGCCCCCCCGCACCTCCAGCTCCAGGTCAGGAAATCCCTCCTTATCTGCCTTGGGATCTCCCTGGGCTTATGCTTCCTCGTGCAGGGATCCGGTCCTGCCTTGGGACCCTCTGGAAAGCCAGCCCAGCTCCCTCTTCCGCCCCTCTGGCTTGCTTTGGGCCCCTCTGTGGGGTCTCTGGGTTGGGGGTCCCCGCTGATGAAGCTCAGCCGGTCCAGTGGGTGAAGCCCAGCCAGGGACAGTGCTGTGGAGTGTCCACCCTTCCAAGGTGATCCAGACCATTGTACCAGGCGTGGCTACCATTGTTAAGACCCCGGGGTCTCCAACCTTGGCAGCTTCATGACTGGTGGACTTCAACTCCCAGAATTCGTCAGCCAGCATGTGTTGGCTGAGGGAGTTGAAGTCCACCAGTCGTAAAGTTGCCAAGGTTGGAGACCCCTGGTTATGAATAGAATAGAATAGAATAGAATAGAATAGAATAGAATAGAATAGAATAGAATAGAATAGAATAGAATAGAATAGAATAGAATAACAGAGTTGGAAGATAGAATAGGAGAGAATAGAATAGAATAGGAGATAATAGAATAGAATAGTTGAGTCAAATAGAATAGTTGAGTAGAATAGAGAATAGAGAATGGAATAGAATAGAATAGAGTAGAATAACAGAGTTGGAAGATAGAATAGAAGAGAATAGGAGATAATAGAATAGAATAGAGTAGGAGAGAATAGAGTAGAATAGAATAGAATAGAAGTAGAATAGAATAGAATAGAATAGAAAGGAGAGAATAGGAGAGAATAGAATAGAGTAGAGTAGAATAGAATAGTTGAGTAGAATAGAGAATAGAATAAGAATAGAATAGAATAGAATAGAATAGAATAGAATAGAGTAAGAGTTGGAAGGGACCTTGGAGATCTTCTAGTCCAACCCCCTGCTTAGGCAGAAAACCCTATACCATTTCAGACTACAATTCTTCCTTCCGCCTTCTCTGCAGCCCATTCCTGAGCGATGAAGAAAACCGGAAACTTTTTGGGAAATGTAACAACCCCAATGGCCATGGCCACAACTATAAAGGTGAGAAGGGAGCGCCTCCGTCTCTAAAACCAAGAGAAACAGGGTGTGTGTGTGTGGGGGGGGGGAACCTGATGCCCCATCATCCACAGAGTGATGAACCTTTGGGAGGAAAGCTCACTCACCCTATGAAAACTGCATCCCTGGGACAGACTTCATGTGTGCATGAATGTGCAATTATTCATTTTGCACACCCGCTGAAGCCCACTAGCTTTTATCCATTGCTGTCAAAACACCATCAGTAATGAATGGCATATGGCAAATTGCAACCATTGCCAATTAATTGCTAGAAGGGTTACCTGAACAATTTTGTTATGTTGGCTAGTTAATTGTCTGTGGAGATGCTCAGTCCTCCAGGTCACGGTTGTCCCAAAGGTGCTTTTTTCAGGAGGCAACTGGACTTTCTGGTTTTTCTTTTGAAGACGTTTCGCTTCTCATCCCAGAAGCTTCTTCAGCTCTGAGTGGGTGGTGGGGAAGGGAAGGATTTATACTCCTTGCAGATAGTTGGTCATTTGTATCCTTTTAATCGTATTTATGATGATGAATATGACGATCATGTGATCACTTTTTGTGATTTTCTGATAAGCAAAGTCAATAGGGAAGCCGGATTTATTTTATAACTGTGCCACTAACTTAACAGTTGCGATGATTCACAACATCTCTGGCAAGAAAAGGCGTAAAATGAGGCAACAGAAATTTTGCTATCACTTGTGGTCGTAAGTCGAGAACTACCCGTGTAATGGAAAACAGGAAGCTTTGTTAAATTCCTGGCGGAAGTTATCCATCTGGTGTATTAATGTATTTATCTCCTTTGCTGATTATCTTAATGTGAAATCAACATCGCAATCTGATATTTCCTTCTTGCTCCTTTTCATTTCTTCTAGTGGAAGTGACTGTGCAAGGAGAGGTAAGTGATTTTGTTCAGATTTTAAACATTTGTATTTTCTTTCTATTTTTCCCCCAATAAGTTTATTAAGGATTATACAAGTGAAATGCATACATTTACAGAATAAAGAAATAACGTTTTAATTTTTTTATATTAAAGTGCAGAAAAAGAAACAAATAGATAAATCTGCCTCTTTCACTCCCCAGCAAGTTTAATTAATAGTAACAGCTTAACACTAGCTTTTCAAATATGGCCAAAAATCTCTTCATTCCATATCTCACTCCACTTCCTATAAACTCATCTCTAGATCCTTATCTTTTCTCTATTAAACAGCAAAAGGGTTATCAGAAATAACAAATAATTACCAATCATAGCTATTACACACACTCTTGAATCTTTCCTTTTGCATTTTCTTTTCTAGATCAATCCTCTTACAGGGATGGTGATCAACCTGACAGACCTCAAAGCCTACATGGAGGTAAGGGAGCTCTTTTCATCCCAGGGGTTGCCAGCAGAGATGAGCCCTGCGTGTGAATTTAATGGGTCTTGGCCAAGCAGTTGGGGAATCCACTGTAGGAATTGAGGCACACCAGGAAGTCCGGAGTGCGGCTTGACAACTTTAGCTTCTTCCTACGTGTGGATAGAGGACAAGAAGGGGAGATCATAACCCTCCCAATGAAAGCGGCAAGATAGATTGTTTTCTTGCCTCTTAAGATCTCACTGGTGGATGTAGAGGGGGAATTTTTTTACCCAAGTAGGAAACACTCAAGAAAAGGCTACAGGTTGATTTCACTTCCCTGCAAAAATGCCGGAGGAGCTCTTGACTCGTGCCGTCAAATATTTATCTGCTGCGCGAGGCAGGTCGCCCAACGAGTCTGATTAACTTTGCAGTGAGTGTCTTTCAAGGAGCTAAATGCCTCCCATCTCTGCCTTGTAGCAAGCAATAACGGAACCTCTGGATCACAAGAATCTGGATAAAGACGTCCCCTACTTTGCAGGGGTTGTCAGGTAGGTAAATTCTCTATTCCCAGGCCTGTTTTCTGATCTTGAACTTGGGATACAGAGTGATTTTGAGTTGTTGTTTTTTTTTCTTCTCTTACAGGACCCTGAATTGCCTAAATTATTCAGGGACATTTAAAGTAACATCAGGAGTGTGTGTGTTGGGGGGAAGCTTGTAAACTAGGATTGCTCTCATCCCCACCACCCCTACCCCCAGAAAGACTCCCTGCTAGATAAGGGGATTTCCCCTGCCAGTGGCAAGGAGGTCTAGAAACTTGTTTTTGTTTTTGTTTTTCCAAAATCAATGTTCTGCACTGTCGGGGGAAATCAAAACTGATGTGTGTGCTTCGTTCTGCCGGTTCAGCCATTCCCAACCTAAGGATCTTGGAAGGTGTTTTGAAGCTAGGATTTAGAATTCCAGCCACCTCAGCACACTCAACTGTGCAGGAATCTGAGGAAGGAAACACCATAGCTCCAGAAGGAGGTTTTCCCCTCTGGTGCAGCCACGGTGCAGGTGATAAAAAAAAAATATATATCACTAACAAGACAACGCAATTAATTCTCAAGAGTTTTTCCCTGTCTCTCCAGTACTACTGAAAACGTTGCTGTGTTCATCTGGGACAGCCTCCAGAAGTGCCTTCCTACCGGAGCCCTTTATAAGGTCAAAGTGCACGAAACCGAGAAGAACGTGGTGGTTTACAAGGGAGAGGGGGCGCCTTCCGAGAAGTTGGGGTGAGCTTGGGGTGGCCATTGTGCCGTGATTGAACAGCTCCAACTCGGCCAGTCTGTCGATCCTCCATCCATCCCCCACATCCACGTATTGTTGGACTTGTGAGTGTAAATGTTGATCTGTTTGCTAAAGCATCACGGGCCTGAGTTGATACGAAACAGATGTTTTATGCAGCTGGGTGGCATCAAACCTCCCTGCCCTGCAAGCATTCCAGCGCGATCCGAGAGTTAAGCAAAACAGCGATTCCTCCTCCATTACTGTCTTGTTCCCGTTTCAAGAGAAAGTCTTGGCTTTTTCTCCAGGATGAATGTAAATCCCAAAATCCAGGGCTTTCTTTTTTTTTTTTTTGAATACAGGAGGGACTTTGCCTGGTTCCAGGCAGCTTGCAGGAAGTCCTCGGCCTCCGGCCACGACGGAGCCCAACATTTCTGTTGTTAGGTGAGATGGCTTGTGAAGTGAATTTTGCCCCATTTTACAATCTTTCTTGCCACAGTTGGTAAGTGAATCGCTGTAGTTGTTACATTAGTAACCCGGTTGTTAAGTGAATCTGGCTTCCCCATGGACTTTGCTGGTCCAGATGGTCACAAGAGGAGATCACGTGACCCCAGGACTCTGCAACCGTCATAAATATGAGTCAGAGGCCACGTGTCTGCATTTTGGTCATAAGCGTGAAAAACTCAATTTTTTTCAGCGCCGTTGTAACTTTCAGAAGTCACATTTTTTCAGTGCCATTGTAACTTTGGTCACTAAATGAACTGCTGTAAGTCAAGGACTTCCTGTATATTTCCCTTTCTTGACTACCTAGTTTTTTTTAAAAAAAAAAACTGGAGAGGTGGGGAATTTATTTGCTGTGTAATTGAGCCAATTACTATAGTTAATCTCATTCCCGTACTCTTTTTTTTTTTAATACAAGTTATCGTGGCTGTTCAGTGGCTAAGCCATGCCCCATTTTTTGTGAGCCCGTGGACCACAGCATACCGGCCCCCTGCCCTCCTTCTCCACTGTCTCCTGGAATTTGGCCAGATTCATGGTCATGGTGTCAATGACACACTCTGCCCTCCTCATCCTCCCTCGTCCCGTTCTCCTTGTGACTTCCCTCTTTCCCAAGATGGCGGTCTCATTTCATGCAAGAATATTAGTTTCAAAGTTCCGGCTCTCGGTTTTCCCACAAACCCAGTAAACATCCCTCAACAAGTCCCCCCCCCCCCTTGTTTCATCTTGGGCTCGTCTGGATGTCCTGATTTTACCCCATTTTTAAAAAGGACATCCTCAACTTCTTAGATTACATATCCAGGTGATTTTTTTGGGGAAGCAGTAGGAAGATGTCTGCCTGCTGCCTTCTGCCTTCTGGATTTTTATTTTTATTTTTAACTTCTAATCTAGGCAACAATCCTTGGACTTCCTGGCAGTGGCTCATCAAAGTGCCAGCCAGGGCTGACTAATTTTGGGAGGAAGGGGGTGCAAAGAGTCACCATTGACCTGACGCAGCCCCCTTCAGAAGAGAATGGTCGAATATGTAAGCTCTCCCTAATCAAGTGTTGTATAAACATTATGGGTGAATGTGATTTCCGCTGGGGTGTAATTTCCCTTGGTCAGTTGTCATTAAAGGCCTGAATTTTGCACCTAAATTTTGAACTGTTTTCTTTTAGACAAAGCAGGAGTATCTACTTACAGATGTGACGGCCAGGATTTTAGATCAGCCTTCCTCAAAACCCATCACTCCATTCGCCAAAAAGGCTGGGAGGATTATCAGTATTGTACATATATTGTTCCATGGTGAAACGTTCTGTTTTAAGTGTTGGGGTCATTAACTTAGGAGCCCTGGCCCCAAGTGCCGCTGCTACCCCTGGTGCTTCCAGCGTCCCCTCTAGTTCCTCCTCCAGGCCCTGTTACTTCTCCAGCTTCTCACCCTCTTCCTTCTTGACCATGCTGTCAATCAGCATCACTACACCTGTCCCCACCACTGACATCTGACCCTTGCCTACGCCCACGATATCTGGTTGGTGGATCTGGATCTGGGATTCCTACAGGACTCTAATCCTCTTACACTCCGCAATATCCTGTGGGGTCTGGGCTTAAGAGGGTCTGAGCTCATATACCGTGCAGGTACCCATGTCCTCACTGCCCCCCCTCCCTCAAAAACCATCACAGATGACCAGCTCTTTCCCATTACACTTGTCAGTTACGGGGGAATTCTTTGAGTGGTCAAGGCAGCAGCCTTGCATGCACAAGTCCAGTCCTGCCCTGTTCACGATGGCTTCCGAGCGGCCTTTCCATACACTCTGCTTGTCCTTCTGCCGAAGCTGCTGCTGCTTTCACTTTTACTTTTTCTACTTTTTACTTTTACTTTTTCTACTTTTTACTTTTACTTTTTCTACTTTTTACTTTTACCTTTTACCTTTACCTTTTACCTTTTACTTTTACCTTTTACCTTTTACTTTTACTTTACTCTACTCTACTTTAGTTTACTTTACTGTCATTGTATCTAGTACAACGAAATTAAATACCATCTTCAGGGTACATTATGACTATGAAAATAAACACACACATACACATCCTTCACATTCTACACATTGAATTGAAAACCCCTGATATCGCATTAATGTTGCACTATACAGTAGAATTCAATAGAGTTACTGCCCTGGGATAGAAGCTGTTTTTCAGCCTATTTGTCCTTGTTTTTATTATTATCTTGTACCGTCTGCCAGATGGTAATAATTTTAAAAAAAAGGGGGGTGGTTCCCAGGATGAGATGGATCTTTGAGGATGTTTTGAACTTTCTTAAGGCAGCGGGAGCTATAAGGCTCTTCCAAAGAGGGGAGAGGGCAACCCATGATCCTCTGGGCAATGATGTTCACCCTCTGGAGCGCTTTCCTATCTGCCCCTGTGCAATTGGCAAACCAGACAGAGGTGCAGTAAGTTAAGATACTCTCTACAGTGCAGCGGTAGAAGCTCACCAGCAGTTTTCCATTCAGTTGTTGTTTTCTGAGAAGCCTCAGGTGGTATAATCTCTGCTGGGCCCTTTTGACCAGGGCTGCAATGTGAGCCCCCAGGTCAGGTCCTCTTTTAGGGTAACACCTGGCCACTTGCTCCCCTCAGTCTCCACTGATAAGCCAGGGCTGGATGTCGGATCTGTTCCTTCTATAGTCCACTACAAGCTCCTTGGTCTTCTTGGTGTTGAGGACCAAGTTATCGTCTCCACACCACGAAAGCAACCCTTGGTCCACCTCATCTCGGTAGGCAGACTCATTCACCCCCCCCCCCCCCCAAGATGTGGGGCTGACGGAGTAATTTCCCCCTCCTCTGGCGTGAGAAGATCAGCCACACAGCCAAATGGGAGACCAGAGTTGTTTTTATGGGCGGATAAGCAAGCGGGGTCAGTTTTGCTTTGTAAAATCATTTTATTGTGTATGCTTTACAAGGGGGCAAAAAATAAATAAATTGCCCTTCGCTTCATTCCGTTTAGGCTGAGATGGAACAAAATCTCATTAGCACGGTACAAAGAAGGAGCGGGTCAGCCTCCTAGCGTTGGACAATGGTTATCAACATGAAAGGAAGGCAGGACACGGGGCGCGTATGTGTGCGCATGGCTGTCTGTGTAATAAGGCAGAGCTGTGTGGCTAAACAATGCGTTAGGGGAGTAAATCTGGGGAAGTGGCCTTTTGGCCTTAAGCTCCCTCCTGTCCCCTTCACCCCCATGCCCAGTCTAGAGAAAAGAAGGACCAGGGGTGACAGGATAGCAGTATTCCAATATTTGAGGGGCTGCCACAGAAAAGAGGAAGGGGCCAACTTATTTCCCAAGGCAGGACAAGAAACGATGGATGGAAACTAATCGAGGAGCGATGCGACCTGGGAATAAGGAGAAATTGCCTGATAGAACCCTTAACCTCTGGAACAGCTTGTCTAGACGTTGTGGGTGCTCCATCAACTGGAGGTTTGGAGACTGGACAGCCACTGAAATGGTATAGGGTCTCCTGCTTGAGTCAGGGGTTGGACTAGAAGACCTCCAAGGACCCTTCCAGCTCTGTTCTGATTGTTTGATCGATTGACTGCCCAACTCCTTTTGGAATTCATAAGTTCCATTGCCCTTAACATGGTTGGTGTTCGGTTTTGTTTATCCAACACCCATCAGCAAAAACTCCGGCCCATCAAGCTATCATGCTAATAATCCTGGCATTATAAGACCGTCCAGTTAAATGTGTGGGACAGGCGTCTTACCGAAGGTTTGTGACAGAATTTTACAACGATGAGGGGTATTTCGCCTCCCCTCGCCCCGTGCTTTGCAACCTACTAGGTCCCGGTGCTCTGCACCTAGCCATCGAGCATGAGCCATGATACATGTACAGATGCGTGTTAGCAAAAGCGGCTATTGAAGTTCCTTGAAGCCGTTAACTTCAACTTGGCGGGGTCTTCTTGTGGGGGGCGGGGGTGCCAGTCTGTCAGACAGAAAAGACTTCATCAGTGATTAATAGACAGATAGAGATAAAAGCACATTTACGCCCCATTCAAAAGCCGAGAAAGAAACTGACAAGGTCACATCATCTCCAGCAACCAACACCTAGATAAGCGGGGATGAACTCTGGACAAAGGGAAAGATACGGTATGCAAAGAACTACCGAGGACGAAAAGCGAACACCTACCAAAACGGGCAGGGTAAGCTACCATATATGAACAGAGCAAATTGTGAATTTCGTTGTACACTGTATGTGCGTACAATGACAATAAAGAATTCAATTCAACCCCCCACACTTCCTTGCACGGATGAGGCTACCTAATCAGGTAATGAAACATCTGCAAAGAAAACAATCCAGACCGCCTCAAGAACTCCAAAGAACGCTTACAAATACTCCGGGATTCTCACCTGTGCTCCCTGTCTGTCATTGGCAAGGGGAGGTGGGTTACTTGCCCTTAAAAACAACGAAGTTTTTTTCTGATTCGTAGATCTTCACTTTATAGAGACACCCCGCGGGAAGGATTTTTTCCATGCTGTTCCAGATGTACACGGCCAGGTTTTCCGTCGAGCTGAAGAAGAGCAGACGGAGGGAGGAGAAAAGGGGGCTCAGAAGCTATTCAGTTGCTCTATGCCCCCCCCGCCCCGCCCCGGTTGCTTTTGGCTACTCTTTGGCCAGGGGGATCAGGTCCACTATGCCCAAAGATGGCATCCCGTGGGTGTGAGCGATTTGCTACCACTTGTGGCCTGTAGGCCGCCGGCCCTTCCCACAGCCAAATCAG